ATTTATGATTAGGGCATCTCTAGATGGCCGGAAATTACACTCTCGCACTTCAATTTGAATATATTTTTCCTTTTTTTTTCTTAAAAAAATAAAGTGGGTGGGGTGGGGGGGGGGGGGGGCTTGAATCCATCTCTGCTCAAAACATTCTTTATCCAGAATAGTGCTAATAACGAAAACATGGACATGAAAAACCAGATCACATCCTAAAAACAAACAGCAGTCACTAAGACATACATCAGGAGCCACCGACTCGATGGAGTTTAATGTTATACCCAGGGAAGGGCACAGATCTATTTTGAAAGGTGGAGGGGGAGGCCATTTTGTGAGTCGACACCCACCTCAGCCCCACAATAGTTGGAGCTGAGGTGAGAAAATTTGAGGAAATACTACCTCTAAATGGCCAGAAATGACACTTTTAGTAAAATTCATCATCATCACATCACCATTAGTCAAAATGAAGCGCCAAAAAAAAATTCTCATGATCTTTTATCAGGGATTTTTGACAACCATAGAGATCTTATTAATGTGTGTGTGATATACCATAGATTTTTCCAAGGTCCCAAATGTCCACCGCAGACCCGGTTTATCATCGCTGTTTAATTTTCTTTCTGACTGATTTTGATGATGTATTTTGATGGTGTGATGTTAGGCGCATTGTAGAAAGTACTATATAAATGAAATAAAAAGAGCGGCCTCAAAGTAAAGGCACCGCAAGCCGAGTTGATTCTGGAAAAAATAAACTTGTGGATATTGACCTTTAGGTCCCAAAAGACGAAGATTTTACCTAATTCGGGTGAATTGTTAACAGGCCTGGCAGAAATACAAAGGCAGCATCATTGACTTCCAACCTACTAGTAAACTTTCCTTGGTGGGTTGTTTAATGTTTCAGGTGATCAACACGATCAATATTCTTGAAGAGAGTCTAATAATGTAGGTTGTCGGGATTTTTCTACTGGTAAACGATTGGATATCCAGATTGTGTGAGGAACTAATTCCAAAATGGATCTTGCTTATTGCTAGATCAGCATAATTATATTATACTCTAGTATGGGTCGTGCGTCGGAAGTTTCAGGAATCATTACAAAAGTGAGCAATTATTTGAAACAGTAAATATCTCTAGAAAGATCAATATATACATAGTTACAATCACAAAAATGTGACATTTTTTTTACATTCGAATTGCTTCTCCTCAAATTTCTATACAATGTACTTTTATTCTATATTCGTTCTCAAATAGAGCCCAGAATAAGAAAATAAGACAATGGAAAAATTAAAAAAAAAGTTTTACCTTTGGATGAATGCTTCATAAAAAAAATTAAAAAACAATACACTTATTTTAGTTAATACACCTCTTTTTTATTATTATTATTTTGTTGCAGAATAAAGACGTTTCAGAGCCAACATCTTTGGTTGGTGATCTTCATTGCTCTTGTTGTTCCTGAAGTACCTCCATCGACAGCTCAAGATTTGATGACGTCTAATCAGTGCTTTGGAATATCCAGAGGTAAACAGTTTACCATAGCATTCATAGAAAACACAAATGCACGTTCTGCAAGTAGACGACTCTTCATTTTATTGGTAGCATTTAGTGACCAACAAACTGAAGTCACCATTAGCAGCAAGCACCAAGTAGCTGACAAGCCATTCCAAGAGTCTTTCGTGATTGAGGCTCGTGGTTTTAAGCGAACAAACATTCCTTCTGCATATATGTTGTCTGGTACAGGGAGAAGCTTAAAAGCAATCAAGGTTACAGCCTCTAGCGACGTGTCTGTCTACGGTCTAATGTATCAAGATTTTACAACGGACGGCTATCTCGGCATACCAACAAACAATCTCGGTACTCAGTACGTTGTGGTGACGTTTCGTAGAACATCACAATTTGCAGTAATTGGGACTCAGGATTCTACGACAGTTCATGTTACCTTACGTGACAGCGTTTCTTTTGGAGATCAAACCTACAATCAAGGTGACGTGTTGACGTTTATGGTGAATGAGTTAGAAGTGGTTCAGATCCAGAGTTTAAATGACTTATCGGGAAGCATTGTTCAAAGTGACAAGCCTGTGGCAGTATTTAGCGGCAACGAGTGCGTAAATACACCAAGTTCATCTTGTGACACACTGACTGAGCAGTTGGTACCTATTAATAGTTGGGGACAGAAACACATATACACTTCATCTCAAAACAGCGACAGTAATATTTATCGAATTATTGCCTTTTTCAGTGGTACAAACGTTACCATTCCTGGAGTTCCAAATCAGCTTCTAGACTCAGGTGAATTTTGGGAAGGAAGTTTGCATAGTTCAGGTCTCGTTTCGTCAAGCAAACCTACAATGATGATGCAGCTGTTAGCGTTTGTCAACGGTAGAACAGTTGACCCTTCTTTGATACATATTCCATCTGAGGAACAATTTGGATATGTGTTTGGGTTCACAACTCCTCCACATTCGGGAGGGGACTCTGGAGGTTATTTTAATTTTATCAACATTGTCACTAAAAGAGACGCTCGTCAGACAGTGCATCTTAATGGTTCCCCAATCAATGGTACAGATATTCGCGAAAGTAATGTCTCCGGTACCATATATTCATTAATTACCGTACAGCTACCTAAAGGAGAAGGGGTTTACTATGTTGAACAAACTGATCCACTTTCATCACCATTATCTGTCATTGTCTATGGATACGAAAAGTCTGAATCATATGGGTATGCAGCTGGGTTGTCTCTTCCAAACAATAAACAGCTCCTGAGTTTCACACCATACTATTTCCGAGAGCTTGGTGGAGAAATTCTTACAATTACTGTGCCCTGTCTTCAAACGAACACCATAACTTATCAAAGTGCAATATGCAAATTTAACACTGGTATTGGGGATGTCCTTGTGTTCGCAGACCGCGTTGATCCCTATATTGTCAGCTGCATCACTCCGACTTTCTACAAGAATGGACTTACGAACGTGTCTGTCTCACTTGATGATGGCAACACATTCCCGTACTCTGGCATTGTCTACGTAGCATCGCAAGAAGACTTGGAGCCTCTTTTGACTGTTACACAGGCAAATTGGGAAGAAAGAGGCGAGGTTATCGATCTCACAGTGCACGATCCCATTATTTTATCATGGGATCCTGAAATCATGGGTGAAGACGTAAGGGAAGTTGATGTCATGATACAATACTCGGACATTAACAACGGCTTTCCAGTTTTGATGGAAGATATCACTGTTATAAAAATGGCCCCAAACAAAGGTAGCGTCATCATCTCTACAGCTCTTCTAATTTCACGTCTTGGTAATGCAATAAAAAGGGGATTAGACTTGTCGAGTGCAGCATTTCACATAAAACGTGTCGATAAAGAACGTGTCGGGAAATCTATCTTACGCGGCGTCACAAGATTTTTTTCGAGAATCCTACTAATCCACATAGTTAGTCATGTTTCTTGTCTAGCTTCCACCAATATACTGAATGTTCCAAATGACGTTCCCGCCTGTCCATGTACTTTTACTCAGGCCAATGCGGATTCTAACTTCGTACATGGAAATTTTCTGAATTTTTTCTTTCATAGAGGAGCTAAAGACTGCTTCAGATCAACAACATCAACCCAATCAGGCTCTGGCCAACAGTGCTGTTACGGAGAAGATGGTAACATCTTAGTCGGACCCCCGGGTGGAGGAACTGCTGACAGATACAGTCCAGCGGAACATTTCTGGCTCCATCAAGCGTATGATGTGCTTCCGTATATTGCCTGCTGCAAATTATCAAACAACTGCGACACATACTATAAAATCCGGCCATCAGATGATTGCTCGGATTATGATCCACCTAGACCAGCAGCAGGTACGGGAGACCCTCACGTAACAACTCTTGATGGTAAGAAAGTCACTTTCAATGGAGCTGGAGAATTCCTGATGGCGTCTTCCATATTACACAAATTGACCTTCCAAGCTCGTATGGAGGTGTATCGTGACACCCTGGCAACGGTTTACACAGCATTTGTTATTCATACCAATATCTCGGCGAAAGTCCAGGTGCAGATGTCAAATATCAATGAGACACTGGTTCTTATCGATGGTGAGCCTTTGCGGCTTGCTTCCAGTCCAGTTAAAGTTCATTATCTAAATGGGGTGCGCGTAAGTGCGAACGACGATTTATCTGAAATTAGGTTTGTTTTTAATGTTGGTATTGCTGTTATCATCTACGTAAACTCCGAAATCATGTCTTTTATAGCTCAACTTGATACAAAGTTCAATGGTCAAGTCAAAGGACTTCTTGGTAATCTGAATGGAGAACCGCACGATGATCTTCAGTTTCCAAATGGTACCATCATGAAGAGTAATTCCTCTCTACAGGAACTCCATAAATACGGTCTAGAATGGCTTGTGGCTGCAGAGGACTCCATCTTCACATACATATCACCTTATGACTACACTACGTACCATTTTCCGGAATTTACTCCAACTTTCGACGTCCCTGATCTTGATGGCGTTAGTCAGGAAATCAAAGATTTGTGTGGCAATTCCTTTGAATGTGTGTTTGATGCAGTGACGACCGGCAGCCTGACATTCGCAAACAATACCCGAGTGGTGTCGGCTACCCTTGATATCATTCAAAAATCCTCTGTCAAAATTGTTAGCTGTGGTTTTCCGGGAGGTGTAGAGAACGGTGTAATGCTTGGACATGTGTATCTGGTAAACTCAACCGTGGAGGTCACTTGTGAGAGAGGTTACGTCTTAGAAGGCTCCTCTAACCTAACCTGCCATGGAGACGGCCGTTGGTCGGCCGATCTTCCTCGATGTAAAAGGTCTGGTAAAGGTCTTAGCACTTCAAATATATTGGGAATTATTTTCGCCGCATTGATCATTCTTGTTGCTTGTGTTGCAATTGGCATTTACTTGAAGAAAAAATAGAATTGTGGCTTTCTTGTGGCTTGTGACCAACCAGCTCGCAATATATGAGCCGTCAGTTATAATTTTTTTAATCCTTCATATCATATTCAAAAAAGACACACAGATATGATAAAGACGAAAGGAATGTACGTTATATTCGTTAAACGGCATATTTGAAAAAGAATAATACTGTAACAATTTAAAGTAAATTAACAAATTTTGACTATTCTGCGTTGAAAATTAATTGCTTTTCTTTTTGTATAGCCACGTATCATAGATATTTGGAATCGTTTAGTCTACTCTGCATTTATAAATTTTAAGTATTTTGTAGCAATTATAATAGTATTTACCAAAAAAACTTTGTTCAAAATCACAGTATAAAATGGAGTGTAAAGTGAAAGATATTTTTCTAAACGTTTTATCCATATTTGATGAGCAAATTTACAATTACGCTATGACAAAAAAATACGTTTCTCATCCCCAGTTATTGCAGTTATACTATAAAAATACATTTGTAGCAATTATTCTATGATTTATTCTGTATTGGAGCTATTGTAGATTGGTTTGTCCTAAACATTTAAAAGGCAGGATATACATGCGTTTCAATTCCTCGATTGTCCTGTTTATCTTGATTTTTTCTTTCTATCTTATCATGCTTTTTGGAATATTAAAGTTTGAAGAAACTATTTTTTTTATAAAAATGCTATCATTTCATAGAAGTCTTAACATATATATTGATATAAAATGGAATTATTGGTGCGCATAATTTAGCTAATTGAGATACAAAAATATTTGTGTTTTATTGCATTAATAAGACCTTCATACTGGAAAAAAAATTTACATTTGATATCATATTGTTTCTTAAACTGTTTCCATATCATCAAGGCATTTTTATCTGGTCTTAGTAAGTCGTTTATGTAAACTACACCCTTTTCATACCAACTCTTGTAAAACACCACTTTATCATCTATTGTTATATTACTATTTCCCCATAGACCTGTACTTAAGATATCTGTACTGTTTAACGGATATTTTTTTTTCTATTTAATTCGCACCAAGCCATAGCTACATCATTCCAGAAAGTATATTTCTTAGTAGTTAAAATCATATGTGTACGTTAAGATACCACACATTTTGGGAACCATAAAAAAATCGGTCAAAATATTCCTTTTTCCAGATGATGTCAGATACCTTCTGATCCACGAAATTTTCAATGCTTAAAAACGCTCTTTTATTGGAACTATATTAATAAATACTACCTTCTTTTTGGTTTTTACATATTTGTTTTTCTATTTATTTTTTGGAAGACTTCCAAATAATTTTAAAAGCGGGGTATTAAGCTCAGTATTGAATGATTTAGAGGGATTTGGAATGGTTAAAATTAAGCGATTATCTTTGGAAGAATTAATTATTTCACAATGGTTCCAGAGGGGTTAAATATCTTTTTGACCATTGTGGTAAAGATTTTCGTATGGATAAAAGGCAATCATTATAAGGTTAGGCAAAATCAGTACAAAAATTAATGCCAAGTAAATTAAATTTTCCATCATCTGGCCGATGAAAACCCTTTTCTTCGCACAAGTTTATTTGACATTTATTCCTACTTCCAATCCAGACAGCACATGGTTTATTGATAATTAACCTTATTTAACAAAGAGATCTTATGACATCAGTCCACTTGATTAAATAAATCCACCATATTCCCTTCAGATCCGTATAGGGCTAAAGTAGCCTCATCAGCATGCTGACCTTCATTTTGAAACCCTCTACATTCCCTTTAATCTTTTCATTTGCTCTTGTGTTTGCTAGTAATACCTCTTTGCATAAAAGAAATAAGTATGGTGAGAGAGTGTTCGCTTGGCGACACCCTGTATTTAAATTTAAAAAGAAGGGTGATGGATAACCATTGAAGAGACTTGATTGACAATTTTATACATTTTTATTTTTTACAATCTGGCGAGTCGAATGGCAGAGCATTTATACTTGAACGATAACGAAAACGATAAAAAAAAAAGCTAGAAAGCAATTGTTCATATAGAAAATAAGAGAAATGTTTACACTAGAACAATTCGATAACGAATTATCAGTTATGGGATAACAACATATTTTGACAAATCAAATCAGATGACGTCATAATCATGGAAAACAATAAAATAGTAGTTATAGCAAGGATTTTATCGTTTTTCCATGATTATGACGTGATCTGATTTGATTTGTTAAAATATTTTGTTATCGTATACACGATAAATCGTAATAGATTCGTTCTAGTGTAAAAACCTCTTATTTCTTTTGTTTTCTATATCAACAATCGCTTTTTAGCTTCTTTTTTTTAAATCGTTATCTTTGAAGTATAAACAGTCCTTTAGGGGCGAAGAAAATCATTTATATAGTTCCTAGTCCACATATCAAGCGCCCTGAGCATCAGATGGATATGTGCGCTATATAAAGCTACATTATTATTATTATTATTATTATTATTATTATTATTATTATTATTATTATTATTATTATTTGTTGGTTTTTCTGTTTTTTAAACATAAAAAGTTCAATTGATATTTTAACTCAGCCTCAATTTGTACTTATTTTGTTCTTAGTTTTTAAGCAATTTCAGCCTCTGTGTTTTTATCAAATAAAATGTGTTCGTATAACAAAACTAAAAATATTGTATGATTTAAAATGTAGTGTTTTCAACAAAATCAACTAAAATATCTTATATTTTGAAGGTTTGCACTGAATTTTTTTTTTGCAACTTGCCTACCTATCATATCACATGATCCCTGGTCAGGACCACCCCCCCCCCCCGCCAACAACAGATCAGTATATGATAATTTAAATGCGTGTGTATATACACAGAATTGCAAACAAATCCGAACGAATATAAATATTCACTGGATGGCGAGGGAAGAATTTGTCCTCAATCAACTCTTGTGTTGTCCAGGAATATGTAATTTTATTTCTCGACACATATATTAAAGTATTTTTTACACTTCGGCAAAAATTTCTTGTCTGCAATCGCCAACCAATTGAATAAGCCAAATATTGTATTCAACTGATAATTAAAGATGATTAGTAGGCATACTGTCAAAATGGTTTAAATTGAGAGCACTCGTTACAAATGGGTAGCACAGTGTACCAAATGGGTATCACGATGTTTCAAATGTATAGCACAGTGTTTTAAACAGATATCACTGTGTTTCAAATGGGAGCACAATGTTTCCAATTGGTAGCACATTCTTTCAAATTGGTAGCACGGTGTTTTAAATAGGTAGCACTGTGTTTCGAATGTTTAGCACAGTGTTTAAAATGGGTAACACACATTTCAAATGGGTAGCACAGTGTTTCAAATTGATTGCACAATGTTTTAATTCGGTAGCATACGACTTCATTACCTCAACTTGAAATCACACCAGATAACTAGGTAGTTTTCACTGCAGAACATTAACCTTAACTTTAACGTCAGTACCCGCCATGCAACGCGATTGATCCTTCCTTTTTTAAACAAATTCAAATATGCATGTGCAAACCCGTAATTAATGTACGTCGAGCACTTAAGTTCATGGAAAACGTACTCAGCAACGCAAGATGAATTAATTATGACGTCATCCGTTAACGTTAATGCTAACGTCGTACGGCGAAAACTACCTATTCTTACTGTTGCGACGTTATTTCAATTAAAGAGCACACTACTGTATTTCAATTTGAGCACACTATTAAAAAAATGATCGCTTATCTTACCTTAGTGTTTGATTTTGGGGGGTTTAATTTATTTTGTGTTGATGAAAATGTCGAATTAAGAAAATACGCCTATTGTCTTTTATGAAAAGAAACTGAGCCTGCCTTGCCCATTGATGATAAAATGCATTTAAAAATTGATTTATGTGTGGCTTATTTATGCAAATTTTGTGTTTAAAATTGTATGGTCTCTCAACGTTAATTAGCATATTGTACTTTTGTTTTCTGTCCCATGTCCCGAGAAACTGAAAAGATCTTTTCGAGTTATATATTGATTTCTCTTTTAATACATGGTTTATCGTGTATTTACTGGCTATCCATGTTGACCCGAATGTTGTAATTCTATAGCATTACAGTATTTTTGTTTATGTTTGATATTAATATCATAGAGAAAAAAAAAAAAAACTGGAATAAAAATTAAAGCCAATCAATACTATTGCTATTTCTTTTCATTAGCAGAGAAAAACATTGTTGGTGTTTTCCTATATTTTTTCACTGTTCCTTCGCCCGACACTGTCACTTTCTACGGTTGAATCTGTTTCAAATTTTGTCCAATCATAGACCATAATACACCAAGGATTTATGACTATTCGGAATGGGGTGTGCATATGAGGACCATTTTAAAGAAAACCCCACACACATGTCGCAAGAGCGAATTACCTGATCTGAATGAAACTTTCCGATAAGCTAAACCAAGTTACAAGGAAGAAGTTATTTAACTTTGGTGATGACCCTGATTGGGAAATGAATTTGTGTGGGTCATTTAAAATGCTAATGTCTCAAACTTTTAATATCTAAAAAAAAAACAAAACAAAAAAAAAAACAAAGGTTCGAAACGAAACTGTCAAGAATAGTTTGTTATGTGGTTCGGTGAAGAATATTTTGGTGACGATCTATGGTAGGATGGGGACCATTGAAAGGGAAATGTGCCACAGACGAGATATGCCAAAACTAGTAATCAACTCTAGTAACAGGGACGTATCCAGGGGGCGCCATTCCCCTAGCCATCGGAGTCGCAGCCTTCCGCATAAGAACTTGTTCTTGTTAGCCAATAGCATTCTTTCCTGGAGGATCGCTCAAAAAAAAAAAAAATACCGATATTTCTCTAAAATACATAATTATTTATCAGCACATGTTATACATAGGCCTATAATAATGGTGTTGATTTAAGTGCTGCACAATTTCTAATTGTATCAGTCGCAATACATTTTCATCGAATAGCATGGCCTCTATTAAATAATTATCTAAAAACTAGTTTTTAACTTCTTTTCGAAATATGTTAAAACTTTTTAAATTAGTGCATCTTTAACTTCCATCTGTAAAGAGTCCCATATTCTACAGAATATTGTT